TTGGTGTGAGACGGGACGGCCACAGCTCTCTCTTCTGGGTTCTCACCCATGTCGATGGAGGGACACTTGCCTGCTGCTCTGCTTATGAGACACTGCCGTGTGCATATATGATTTTCAGAATGGCTTTAAATCCCGTTTAAAATGGGGCGGGTGGGTGGAAATGACAGTGTCCATGCCTTCCTTTCTCAACTAATGTATGTTCTGATAAGTCGTGGTTTTAGGCTGCTGGAACCTTGGATTAAATACTCCCTTTTTCTAAGCTCAGATCAGAGAGTGAGCTCCTTCGGGTTATAGCCTTTTCTTCTGTTACATTAAAAGTGATCTTTCTCTTTCCCCTCCTAGCGGGTGTCCTTGAGCGCCAGTCCATAGCTAGCGCGAAGGCAGGGGGGCGAAGCTGGTAGAGCACTTTGGAGTCCCGCTGCCTTTGTTTGAGCACATCACCTGTGCTTACCGGCCAGTTTGCTTAGCACACAGCCCCTCATTCTCCCATTTGCCTCATTCGCAACGTGGCCATGATAACAGGACATACCTCAGAGGTGTCCTAGGGATCAAATGAGTTAATGTTTGTAGAGCACTTAGAACAGTATCTGGCACATACTAAGCACTGAGTGCGTGACGAATGAAGGTTGTCAACAGTGAGAGTTCAGCCATGAGCAGTGGTGATTGTTGCTAAAAATGAAATAAAATGTAGGCACTTTTTTTTTGTATAAATTGGAGGTTGAATTTTATTCCCAAAGTAAATCTCGATGTCACCTTGACTTGTATTCCGTATATATTTTTTGAAAAGTTAATAAGATACCTAAAATTGTGTGCTGGGCATTATGCTGAGTGTTTTCTTTGTAAAGAGAGCCTTATTTAGCTCTCCCAGCAGTACTGTGAAGGTAGGCAATATTGTGCCCCCCTGTTACAGAAGAGGAAACTAGCTGACCTAAAGATGGTAGGTAGCTTTCCCAGGTCATGCAGCCAGTAAATGGTGTGCTGAGAGGCGCACCCCAGCATGTTGACTGCAGATCCCCGCCCAGAACCTTCTACTCCTCTTGTATGGAAACAAAGGGGAGTGAGAGTGCTGAAAATGTTAGGGAATACTCTGCCTGTTTTTCTCTTGACCACTCAGTTATGATGGGACACCCTCAGAAGGATCCACCATCTGTGGGAAAGGTCATGAAGGACTAATGTAGGGTCGGTCAGTGATCATTGCTAGTTGACTATGAGAAGGCATGCTTCATGATTGCGATGTTCATGTGCACTTAAATATAATAATACAAACTTGTATACCACCTCCACTGTTTCAAAGGCTGTTATGAGATGAATTGAGTTCTTCCATGAGAAGTATTCTGTACAGGGTCCCACACACGGCAAGTGCTCAAAAAGTGTTAGCTGCGATTACTGTTACTGTCATTGTGGTTGGGACTTGATCCTCAGAGGGGCGCTTCACGAGTCTCCCGAGTTTTCTGAGTTCTGAGAGGTTAAATGACGTATCTGCAGACACAGGACTGGTTCGTGTGTTTTGCCCCCAGTCCAGCTGCTTCTAGCCTTGATGGCGTCGTTCTGCCAGCCGCACCATCTTCCGTCCCCCCCACCCCACCCCGTTGCCAGAGAAACCTCCCGGGCCCTGCTTAGCCTCAGAGCCACAGGTTGCTTTATCCCCTGGAAGTAAGTTCTGCGGTGGATTCTCCAAGTGACTTCGGAACACCCAGGCCTTCCCGAGGGGATTCAGTCTCAAATGTGATCTGAGCTGTAAACAGATACCTTCACAAAAAAGATGGTGTTCACTGGAGGAGAGTAAACAGACTCTGAAAGACCTGTTTTTATATTCATTAATGTGAAAGACCATTAATGTGTAACCATGAAATTACACTTGAAAGAAGCTGCATATTCAAGTTAAATTCACAGTTTCCCTACTTTGAAAAACAGTTTTCTTGGATATAAAATGATGAGACAGACTTTGAAACTGAAAAACTGCTGCTTTGCCTCAGGTATTTTTGCTTGAAAACTGATACTTTCATGAATATTTAATTTTTAAAAACTTGGACAAGATGATTGCTATTTCAGTTGGTGTTCTGGTCCTTACGAAAGTGATGCAGTTTTGGTTTTTAGAGAAAGTGTAACATTTTTCCATCAGTGAAAATTACTCTTTATGACTTCAATTTCTACTTTTGCATTGTTTAAATCTCTTGTAAAACTAATGGCAAAATTCCAAAGATGCTTCCTTTTGCTTTTTTTTTTTATTATCACCTCCAGTCTGGTAAAGGCCTCACACATTCATTATTTCAAGAGCAGATGTGTTGCAGGAATTTTCACAAAGCCTGCTGTCTGGTGGTTTTGTAAGGATGGTTTAGTGAGTTAAAATGGCTAAATGTTTCAGGTTATAATGATAAGTGCTTTTAAAAGAGCCTCATCAATAGACCATGTAAATAGTGAATCTGAATTGGGACTTAGTCATGATTTTGTTATGTTATGATTTTGATGCATAATTGTTGACATACAGTTTGGAGGGTCTCTTGATTCCTCAGCTACAGAGTTATAATGTCACTAAAGAAAATTTGTGAATAAAAAATTAAGTGAGCTATTGGGAAAATAATCACCAGTACTTATCTGATAGATTACAATGACAGAAAGAATAATGGCTAAAATGTACCAAGGGCTTCCTCTGCTGCAGACACTGGGCTGAGTCTCTGTTACACAATTGAATTTCATCTCCATTTTATGCTACAGGAGAAACCAGGTTTTGCTAAAAGCATCTAGGAAATTGCAGAGCTAGGATCTAGATGTCGAGCTGCCTGACTCCCAGCCCAGGTTCTGATCCATTTTCTGTAGCTTCTACACCAACACATTCTGTCCTATAAGCTAAGCCACCATACCTCATATTTTCAACGTCTTACTAGACGCCATGACTCCATGAAGAGGGGAAACCTGCATTAGGTCCATTTTATAGGCAAAGAAACTGATGCTTAGGTGATCAGTAACTATTCCAAGCCTATACACTTAGCACACGAGAGACTTGTCCTTGTCCTTCTGGAGACCTTATGTATGTCATAAATGAAGGATTTTTTTTTTTTTTTTTTTTTACTGTGCTCGTTTCATGCTCTTTTGGGACTGTGTGAAACACCTTGAAATTTTATTTTTTTTATTTTTTTATTATTTTTTAAAGATTTTATTTATTTATTTGAGAGAGAGAGAGAATGAGAGAGAGCACATGAGAGGGGGGAGGGTCAGAGGGAGAAGCAGACTCCCTGCCGAGCAGGGAGCCTGATGCGGGACTCGATCCCGGACTCCAGGATCATGACCTGAGCCGAAGGCAGTCGCTTAACCAACTGAGCCACCCAGGCGCCCCACCTTGAAATTTTATTAGAAAACATTGTCATATGATTTAAACTTGCTATGTTTATCATGTTGGTCCTGTGATGACTCAGAATTCCTTAAATGACTTTTTCCTCTCCCTTCAAACAAAATCTTAGCAGTACCACTGCAGAATACCAGTGTGAAATATCACAAAGCAGGTTATTCCAGCCAAGAATCCGAGGTGAGGCCAGCTTTAAATTGTTGAGGCACATTAAAGTCAAATCAGTGGTGAGAATGCTGACAGCTCCTCCTCAGAAAAGATGTCTCTGTGGCACATTTAAAAATCATATCCCCCAGTGAAGATGATTAAGAACTTGGACATATTCGTATCTGTGGCCACAGAGGAGAAAAAGGGATCATTTTCATCACAGGTCAGTGCTGAGCACACTGAACTCCTTTGAATAGCTGTCCCTTTCTTAATTCGTCCAAGGATTCTTAATTTATTTTGCTTATTATCAGAAGCGTCTCCCCCCTTGAGGAAACATAAAATTTATTAAGAGAATTGTAACTTAAAATATTCAGAGCACTCCTGGCATCTTTACTTAAATGGATGCAAGAAATTTTACTGCAAGAAAGTATATATTGATCCCTGTAGCTGACTTGTCATGTTTAGTATTTTTCTCTTTGCACAAGAAGAATAGCTTCTGTAATGTGAATTGAAATGATACATCAAGCTAATAAATGTGGTTGGCCTAGCAAGTGATAAGCATAACTAACTCAATTTAAATGTCTTTTATATAAAAATAATGAACCAGTGCATTAAAGATTAAAAATATTAATGCAATTAGCAAAAATTAGCATTCAATAAAGAAGTGTGTTTCAGTTTTGAGATGGATGATACATCATTCAATGACCAGATAAGGACTAAATTCAGGTACACTTTATTCAGCTGGCGTGTATGTTAAAAACCAAATAAATAAAAATTAAATGCTTTATTTGCCCCTTTGCAACGACGTGGGTGGAACTAGAGGGTATTATGCTAAGCGAAATAAGTCAGTCAGAGAAAGACAATTATCATATATAATCTCACTCGTATGTGGAATTTAAGAAACAAAACAGGATCATAGGGGAAGGGAGGAAAAAGTAAAACAAGACAAAACCAGAGAGGGAGACACCATAAGAGACTCTTAATCATAGGGAACAAACTGAGGGTTGCTGGAGGGGAGGGGTTACAGGAATGGGGTAACTGGGTGATAGACATTTAGGAGGGCACGTGATGTAATGAGCACTGGGTATTATATAAGACTGATGAATCACTGACCTCTACCTAGACATGAAACCAGTAATACATTATATGTTAAGTAATTGAATTTAAATTAAAAAAAGTAAATGCTTTATTTGAAGAAACTTTGATAAAACAGTATGTGGCATGTAGACAAAAGGACACGCAGGTCCTTGGGGACTGTGCCAGAAACCAGGGCATGAGGTGACTTAAAACATATTGTCACCTGCCTCCTTGTGGGGGAGGTAGAGGGGATGTAGCAGGTGTGACAGTGAACGTGGGACTGGAGGGGAAATGAATTTTCCTGGCTTCACTGCTAAATAAAGTGAGCATTTTTGGTTTGGGGACGCTGACTTTAAAACAGTGGAGTATACAGTGGTGTCGCTATTTGCCTTAATGTCGCTGTGGCGTCTTGTCACTCTATGCTCATCTGCAGGTGGATGGCAAGCATTCCGATGAGGCAGCCTTGATCCTCCACAGGAAGGGGTTTGACTGCCGCTTCTCGAGCAGAGACACGGGGCTGCTTTGTTCCACAACCCAGGGAAAGGTGAGCTGAAAAGTGGTTTTTGCTTGTTGATTTCATGTGCTTTGAAATCCTTGCTTTCTGCTAATCATTCTGACAATAAGATAACGTTTCATTGCCTCTTCGTGGACTCATTCCCCTCAGCTGCTGTAATTTAGCTCAAGTCTCTCCATCTTAAGAAAGCACTTTCTCAACCTTCGATCTCTTCTCCTTGTCAGCATCAAAATGCACGTCTGGAACATGGGCACGTGTAGGGGCAACATTCTCCTCCATTCCTAGGCCTTCCGTTGCCAGCCGACAAAACATCCTCTCCCCGCCCCCCATCCCCCAATATTCCCTCCTCTCTCACACATGCTCATGTAGGATCTAGGTCCATGAAGTCTCAGAGGGGCAAAAGCAGGTTTTATAATAACTAAAGGTGGGGTGGGGTGGGGTAGGGAAGTGGTGACACTGGCCAGTCGGCCCCGAAGCAACCTTACTTAGCTCCAGTCAGTTGTTGTCCCAGGGGAAATGAGGGTCTAGATCTCCTGATCAAGACAGATTTGCATAGGAGTCCTCACCGTGCCAGCCAAACAGGTCTTCAGGCTGACCTGCCGGCTGCCCAGTTTTTCTGTCTCCTTTGAGCTGGTCTTTCTGATAGTTCCCTCAGGCTCTCCTTGGAAGGAAATGAACCTCCAGCCTTCTGCCTCTGGCTCTGAGCAGGTTGTGCTCAGAGAAGACAGCTGGATGGCACACAGGCAGGTCTGCCCCACGGGGCAGCTCAGCTGACCCAGCTCTTCTCCAAAACCTCACAGATAACCTGTAGATCAGACTTAAGAGATTCATTTCCAACCCCACCAACTAGAATGTGCATAGGGTCTGAAAAGGAGAGAAAAGACAATATGGTAGGGGGTCAAAATCCACTTAGGCAGATAAGCTTCTTCATTTCTCATATCATGCCCTCCGTGGAATTGGTGCGAAGAAAGCACTGATGGTTTTGGGTTTGTTTTTCATGATATTTACGCTTTACCTTATTACTGATGATGTGAGTGTACTTGGTTGTAAGCATTTGTATATAGACATTAAGGCGTCAAGTTTTAAGGGGATTATATGGTCCAGAGAGACATGGGATGAGGGTAGTACTTTCTCAGCAACCCCCCAACCCTGAAAATGGGACTCACTGACATGAGGAGCCTGTGTCCTTTCTCTCAGCTCTTTGGGAACAAGAAGAACGACAAGTGTTAGGTGTAAATGTTGGGTGTAAGAGGATACGGATGTTTTTAAAGCTTGCTGGCTCATAGATGTGTTTTCTTTTATTGAAAAAGTGGCCCCTGCACGTGATAAGTTCTCAAGAAATTCAGAAGAAGAATGTAGAGTGAGCTGTCCTCTCCTGGTTACACTTCTCCTAGGTGTCCCTCCCAGGGTGGTCTGTGTGTCCAGGCACGCATAGCTGTATCTAATCTCCTTCCTCTTCCTCTTTTTATCATTAAAAGGAAACTTCAAATACACTGTTTTACTCTCCTACTATTTTCCACTGAATAAATATATAGATGTGCTACTAATCTTTCTTCAAAGTTGACCTAACTGTGCAATTTTTTTTATCATTTATTTTCTAGATTTTGGTACAGAAGCTTCTTAGCATGTTTACTGTCGCAAGTCTCATACCTTCATCATTATCCTTGATGCATTCACCTCCAGACGCCCGAAATATAAGTGAGATCAACTTGAGTCCCATGGAAATCAGCACATTCCGAATCCAGTTGAGATGAACCTGGCTTTCAAATTTTGATTGGGAAGCATTGTCTTTTATACACTTCTTGGTTTGACGTGCAATAAGGAAGCACATTATTTTAGCTTCTGGCTACTGTGAGGACATGAATTATGTGATTGTTATTATAATTATTATTATTATTATTATTATTATTATTATTATTATTATTTTACTAGTACAGAAAGAAAAAAAAAAGCCATGCTATAGCCAGTTTTTCTTTAAGTTCCATCCATGAATCACCACCATCAGTATGAATCGATGCAACAATGAAGGAAGAAATGTCTAAAACAACCTCTCCACAGATTGTATCTCAGGTTAAATGCTAACTAACTATATCTGTGTCGGGAGTTGTGAAGAGATTGTTATAAGTATTCATGTTGCTGATCCTTCATTAGTTTTACAAAAATACCCATTTTTACCAAAATGGAATAAAAAGCTGAAGGGTAATAGCTAATGGCCAAAATGGTTGCAATCGTTCATACGCATTCGAAAAATTTTGTGTATTGAAATATGTGGAAAAGTGCAATCCATCAACCCTTATGATATCTGTACATCATTGATCTTCACACCTTTTTCTAATGTACCACTTGACCCCTCCCTTCTCACTCTTTGTATTTCCAGAAATAGCAGATTTTGAATCATTCAATAGTAGAAAAAGAGGCATATTTTCATTACTTGACAATGTGGGTGGGATAGGTGCAATTTATTCCATTGTCACTAAGATAGAAAAAGCAATCCCATAGGTACCATAACCTCTTTTAGGTACCACAAGGTGTCTTTTTACACAGCTCATTTGAATACAGATGTTCGGAGAGGGGTTTTCTATTTTAAAAATAACCATATCAAAATAAATGTGCCTTATTTTTTTATAAGTCTTGTTAAATCTTTTGGTGTCCATATGACTGAGGAAGGGGGAGAGGGCGGGGGTGGGGAGGAGGTGGGTACTTTCTATGACACATAAAGTGTTATCGGTTTTGCCTGACAATGCTGGCCACATTCTGATCTGTTTCATTAAATTTGTGGTGATGTTATTCTAAACATTTTGACTATTTGAATGTACTGAGATGTCAGAAAACAAAACAAGGAAGAAAAACTACTGTTCATTAAAATCCGCTGCTGCCAAGAAGATGGCAGCTTGAAGCAAGGATTTTGTGACATGCAAAATCCATACACTGTTTCCATTTCACAGGAGGTAACTCTATGAAAGAATGCTTTAAAAGGGACCCTGTTTTGAAATCCACTTATAGGTAGCTCATCCTGATTTCTTTTATTAAAGAACATGTGTGTTGAGTGAATTCCAAACTTTTGTACGTGCTAACCTCAAAGTGAAGTTCCAAGCCTATGTGCCATTACAGTACTTTTTTTTTTTAATTTTTTTATTCTTATGTTAATCCCCTTACATTACAACATTAGTTTTAGATGAAGTGTTCCATGATTCATTGTTTGTGCACAACACCCAGTGCTCCATGCAGAATGTGCCCTCCTAAATACCCACCACCAGGCTAACCCATCCTCCCACCCCCCTCCCCTCTAGAACCCTGTTTGTTTTTCAGAGTCCATCGTCTCTCATGGTTCGTCTATCCCTCCGATTTCCCCCGCTTCATTCTTCCCCTCCTGCTACCTTCTTCTTCTTTTTTTTTTCTTAACATATATTGCATTATTTGTTTCAGAGGTACAGATCTGAGATTCAACAGTCTTGCACAATTCACAGCGCTTACCAGAGCACATACACTCCCCAGTGTCTATCACCCAGTCACCCCATCCCTCCCACCCCACCCCCCACTCCAAAAACACTCAGTTTGTTTCCTGCGATTAAGAATTCCTCATATCAGGGAGATCATATGATACATGTCTTTCTCTGTTTGACTTATTTCACTCAACATAATACCCTCCAGTTCCATCCACGTTGTTGCAAATGGCAATATCTCATTCCTTTTGATGGCTGCATAATATTCCATTGTATAGATATACCACATCTTCTTTATCCATTCATCTGTCGATGGACATCTTGGCTCTTTCCACAGTTTGGCTATTGTGGACATTGCTGCTATAAACATCGGGGTGCACGTACCCCTTCGGATCCCTACTTTTGTATCTTTGGGGTAAATACCCAGTAGTGCAATTGCTGGATCATATGGTAGCTCTATTTTCAACTTTTTGAGGAACCTCCATACAGTTTTCCAGAGTGGCTGCACCAGTTTGCATTCCCACCAACAGTGTAGGAGGGTTCCCCTTTCTCCGCATCCCCGCCAACATCTGTCGTTTCCTGACTTGTTAATTTTAGCCATTCTGACTGGTGTGAGGTGATACCTCATTGAGGTTTTGATTTGGATTTCCCTGATGCCGAGCGATATTGAGCACTTTTTCATGTGTCTGTTGGCCATTTGGATGTCTTCTTTGGAAAAATGTCTGTTCATGTCTTCTGCCCATTTCTTAATTGGATTCTTTGTTCTTTGGGTGTTGAGTTTGATGAGTTCTTTATAGATTTTGGATACTAGCCCTTTATCTGATATGTCATTTGCAAATATCTTCTCCCATTCTGTCGGTTGTCTTTTGGTTTTCTTAACTGTTTCCTTTGCTTTGCAAAAGCTTTTTATCTTGATGAAGTCCCAATAGTTCATTTTTGCCCTTGCTTCCCTTGCCTTTGGCGATGTTTCTAGGAAGAAGTTGCTTCGGCTGAGGTCAAAGAGGTTGTTGCCTGAGTTCTCCTTTAGGATTTTGATGGACTCCTGTCTCACATTGAGGTCTTTCAGCCATTTGGAGTCTATTTTTGTGTGTGGTGTAAGGAAGTGGTCCAGTTTCATTCTTCTGCATGTGTATCCAATTTTCCCAACACCATTTGTTGAAGAGACTGTCTTTGTTCCATTGGACATTCTTTCCTGCTTTGTCGAAGATTAGTTGACCATAGAGTTGAGGGTCCATTTCTGGGCTCTCTATTCTGTTCCATTGATCTATGTGTCTGTTTTTGTGCCAGTACCATGCTGTCTTGATGATGACAGCTTTGTAATAGAGCTTGAAGTCCGGAATTGTGATGCCACCGGCTTTGCTTTTCTTTTTCAATATTCCTCTGGCTATGCGGGGTCTTTTCTGGTTCCATACAAATTTTAGGATTATTTGTTCCATTTCTTTGAAAAAAGTGGATGGTATTTTGATGGGGATTGCATTGAATGTGTAGATTGCTCTAGGTAGCATTGACATCTTCACAATATTTGTTCTTCCAATCCATGAGCATGGAACGTTTTTCCATTTCTTTGTGTCTTCCTCAATTTCTTTCATGAGTATTTTATAGTTTTCTGAGTAAAGATCCTTTGTCTCTTTGGTTAGATTTATTCCTAGGTATCTTATGGTTTTGGGTGCAATTGTAAATGGGATCGACTCCTTAATTTCTCTTTCTTCTGTCTTGTTGTTGGTGTATAGGAATGCCACTGACTTCTGTACATTGATTTTATATCCTGCCACTTTACTGAATTCCTGTATGAGTTCTAGCAGTTTTGGGGTGGAGTCTTTTGGGTTTTCCACATAAAGTATCATATCATCTGCAAAGAGTGAGAGTTTGACTTCTTCTTTGCCAATTTGGATGCCTTTGATTTCTTTTTGTTGTCTGATTGCTGTGGCTAGGACTTCCAATACTATGTTGAATAGCAGTGGTGATAGTGGACATCCCTGCCGCGTTCCTGACCTTAGGAGGAAAGCTCTCAGTTTTTCCCCATTGAGAATAATATTTGCTGTAGGTTTTTCATAGATGGCTTTTATGATATTGAGGTATGTACCCTCTATCCCTATACTCTGAAGAGTTTTGATCAAGAAAGGATGCTGTACTTTGTCAAAAGCCTTTTCTGCATCTATTGAGAGGATCATATGATTCTTGTTCTTTCCTTTGTTAATGTACTGTATCACATTGATTGATTTGCGGATGTTGAACCAACCTTGCAGCCCAGGGATAAATCCCACTTGGTCATGGTGAATAATCCTTTTAATGTACTGTTGGATCCTATTGGCTAGTATTTTGGTGAGAATTTTTGCATCCATGTTCATCAGGGATATTGGTCTGTAATTCTCCTTTTTGATGGGGTCTTTGTCTGGTTTGGGGATCAAGGTAATGCTGGCCTCATAAAATGAGTTTGGAAGTTTTCCTTCCGTTTCGATTTTTTGGAACAGTTTCAGAAGAATAGGTATTAATTCTTCTTGAAATGTTTGGTAGAATTCCCCTGGGAAGCCATCTGGCCCTGGGCTTTTGTTTGTTGGGAGATTTTTGATGACTGCTTCAATTTCCTTAGTGGTTATAGGTCTGTTCAGGTTTTCTATTTCATCCTGGTTCAGTTTTGGTAGTTGATACATCTCTAGGAATGCATCCATCTCTTCCAGGTTATCTAATTTGCTGGCATAGAGTTGCTCATAATATGTTCTTATAATTGTTTGTATTTCTTTGGTGTTGGTTGTGATCTCTCCTCTTTCATTCATGATTTTGTTGATTTGGGTCATTTCTCTTCTCTTTTTGATAAGTCTGGCCAGGGGTTTATCAATCTTGTTAATTCTTTCAAAGAACCAGCTCCTAGTTTCGTTGATCTGTTCTACTGTTCTTTTAGTTTCTATTTCATTGATTTCTGCTCTGATCTTTATGATTTCTCTTCTCCTGCTGGGTTTAGGCTTTATTTGCTGTTCTTTCTCCAGCTCCTTTAGGTGTAGGGTTAGGTTGTGTACTTGAGACCTTTCTTGTTTCTTGAGAAAGGCTTGTATTGCTATATACTTTCCTCTTAGGACTGCCTTTGCTGCATCCCAAAGATTTTGAACAGTTGTGTTTTCATTTTCATTGGTTTCCATGTATTTTTTTAATTCTTCTTTAATTTCCTGGTTGACCCATTCATTCTTCAGTAGGATGCTCTTTAGCCTCCATGTATTTGAGTTCTTTCCGACTTTCCTCTTGGGATTGAGTTCTAGTTTCAAAGCATTGTGGTCTGAAAATAGGCAGGGAATGATCCCAATCTTTTGGTACCGGTTGAGACCTGATTTATGACCTAGGATGTGATCTATTCTGGAGAATGTTCCATGGGCACTAGAGAAGAATGTGTATTCCGTTGCTTTGGTACGGAAAGTTCTGAATATGTCTGTGAAGTCCACTTGGTCCAGTGTGTCATTTAAAGTCTTTATTTCCTTGTTGATCTTTTGCTTACACGATCTGTCCATTTCAGTGAGGGGGGTGTTAAAGTCCCCCAGTATTATTGTATTGTTGTCGATGTGTTTCTTTGCTTTTGTTATTAATTGCCTTATGTAATTGGCTG